AGTTACACCAAGTTCTTTAATTGCAGCATCAAAAAATTTCTGGATAGCTTCCCAAACACTGAATGCCCACGGACGTAGGATATAACATCCACTAACATCATAGTATTCAATCATTTCACCTTTGGTCAAAACTTGGGAATACCATTCAGCAAGATTTTCTTCTTTTTTTACTTCTAAACCAAGTCTAGTCACCTTTTTAACACTACTTTCAGGATTTTCTGAGGCAGCTTTAACAGGTTTTTGAACCGGTTTATTTTTTGAAGCTTGTTTCTTTTGGGCTTCATCAGCAGGTTTATTTCCAGGGTTACAGGTAGTTTCCTTTGTTTGGTTATCAGGTTTCCAGTCTTTTCCTGAAATACTTTTGTATTCATCTTTCAACTTTAAAAGTTTCTTTACATTGTCATCAATTACGCTTTTATCGGCTTTTTCAGATTTCAACTTTCGAATAAAATCTCCCAAATTTTTAATCTGAAGATCAAGGTCACCAGCCTGCACAGTTTCTAGTTTTAAATTTGATTCAGATTGATCACTACAATGAACTGCAGCAACTGCTAAGTTTATATCTGGTTTCCAATCCATTCCAACAGAACTTTTAAACTCTGCTTTTAATTTCAACAATTTCTGTACTTCTACATCAATTAAACTTTTCTCCGACTTCATTGATTTTAATTTTCTTACAACATCTCCTTGAGTTCTGATTTGTTGGTCTAAGTTTGATGCAGGATTATCCTCAACACTTTTCATTTCTGATACTTTATTTTTAGAAGACTGTAATTGCATATCTGGTTTATATTCCAATCCTGTCATATTTTTGAATTCCCCTTTTAATTTTAACAACAGTTGAACGTTTTCATCTATTACTTTTTTATCAGCTTTGTCAGATTTCAATTTCCTGACAAGATCGCCTTGCGCTTTTATTTTGTTAAAAAGACTAGAAACATCATCACTATTATGTGGATTTCCTTCTTTTTTAACAGCTTTCTCCTGAAATATTTCATTTACTTTAATATTAGGAGTCCAGTCAATTCCAGTACATTTCTTAAATTCTGCTTTTAAGTTTTGTAACAATTTGACATTGCTGTCAATTAGACTTTTTTCTGTCTTGTCACCTTTTAATTTTCTGACAAGATTTCCTTGATCTTTAATTTTGTTGTCCAGATTCATAGCAGCTTCATACAAATTCTGGGATCCAGAATCAACTGCATCACCTTTGGGTGAGCAAATATTTTTATTTTCATCTTGAGGAGATCTTTCAAAATCTTTTCCTTTAGAATTTGATATTTTTTCTTTAAGGCTTTCATGTTCAAAAGCAGTTTTTACTGCATTGGGTAGGCCACTTATGTCTTTGGAGCCATCTGGAATATAGAAAAGAACAACTGGACTTGCACAGCTAGTGTACCTCATTGTTGAAGAATCATAAGGTTCATCACAGATGAAAAAACCTTTCCTCTGGATTTGAATAATGTCACCTTTTTGAAGAGAGGCAAGATCAGCATCTCCTTTCATATGAACTACTACTTTTGTATTGCTATTTAAGAATTTTTTAAAGTCATCGTCTTTTCCAAGAACGGGTTTTGAAATAAGATGATCATAATAAACACACATGCATGGTGTTAAGGGAGAGTCTGCTGAATCCACTACCCAAGTAACTTTTAAGGTTTTCTTAAAATCTTTATTATCAAGATTTAATTTTGCTTTCACACACTCAATATTACCATTTACTTTTTTAGAAATTTCAGTGATGAGTAGATTACCCCAATTGATGAATGTTACATTTTCTCCTACCTTCATAGCTTTAGCATCAAAATCATCTACTAATAACTTGGGTCCCACAAGGATTTTCTTCATTCCAAGTTCAGGATTTTTTGGGTGTTTGGCAACTTCAAGTACTTGCTGAATAGCTCCTTCAACTATCACTGGTACTGCATTATCATGTTCAACAGCATTATATCTTGGAGAAATTGGATCAATTACCTTTTTATTGAATGCCCATATCTTATCCCATTCCATTACAACTACTGAACGTGATGACCCTTGAGCAACTATAAACTGCTTCAGACCTTCTACAGTCATTCCTCTTCTAAGAACTCCTCTCACAGTAGGCATTCGTGGATCTTCCCAACTATCCACAATACCTTCATTGACAAACCAAGTTAATTTTCTCTTTGAAAGAACAGTATTTGTCATATTCAATCTTGAATATTCATAAATATAAGGTTTTCTTAGTTTTAAAACATCTATTATCCAATAGAATTGTTGATCTCGATCATGATACTCTGTTGTCCTAAGAGCATGGGTAACACCCTCAATGCTATCAACTATCGGACAAGCAAAATCATAGGTAGGATATACTTTGTACTTGTTTCCTGTACGTGGATGTGGCATATCCTTACAACGATACAAAGTTGGATCTCTGAGGCAACCATTGTCAGAAGACATGTCTATTTTTGCTCTGACGCAGCACGTCTTACCATAATCTGTACCTTTCTTCATTTCCTCCCACATCTTCCAATTCTTTTCTATGCTGTTACTTCTATTTTTGGATTCTATTCTTTGCTCACGTTCATTTTTCATAGTTTCGGGATCTGTGTCATCAACATAAGCAACCCCAGCTTTTAAGATATCTTCACATTTTTGTTGTATCAAGTCAAAGTGATCAGATGTATAAGAGAAAATATCAGGTTGGACTTCAAGCATTGCAACATCTTCAAGAATAACTTTCTCAAAATCCTCCTTTTCTTTTTCTGGATTTGTATCATCAAATCGGAATACCAATTTGCCCTGAAAACTTCTTTGATAATGGGCATTAAGAAGAGCAGCTTTTGCATGACCAATATGTAAATATCCACTAGCTTCTGGAGGAAATCTGACAACCACTTTTCCCATCTCTGCACCAGGCAATTCCACAAATTTACCTTTATCTTCTGTTTTCAACTTGTTACTTGCATCCTTAGTCTCGGCATTTTCTTTCTTAGGAAACATTTCAGATACTACTTTAAAAGGTGTTTGGCTAGATAAATAATTATACCATCTCTTAACATTTTCAGCTAATAAGAATGAATATTGTTCAGTTCCATACAGCATTGACCATACACAAATATCTGCTAGAGTAAGTGCATCCCCCACAAGAAAGGTAACCATAGATAAAGTAGAATCCAACTTTTTCAAATTAGTTTTAAACTCTGAATCACTATACTTTCTGCTGCAGAATTCCAACCAATGATCGACTTCAGTTTTTTCTAATATGGTATTTCCATACAGAGAAGTTGCAGTTGTACGAGCTAAAAATCGGCAGATCGAATAAACAGAAGTGAAGTTTATGGGTGGTCCTTGTTTCGGAATAATCTCCAGATCAGTCGTTGGCCCCCATTCGATATTAATTGCTCCACTATCTTTAGTAAGTTCAGCCAATATAAGAATGGGTGCGGAAGACACCGATTTACAACAACTAATTTTGACGTTTTGTAGAGAATGCATATTGATTACGAAAACTTTCTAATACACTAGTATTAAGTTTCCGCTTCAAATTAATCGCTGAAATGCTTGTAGAGTAATGATAACTCTAGTAGCGATTCCAAATCGTGTTTTGAATCGGCTTGGAAAGAGAGAAATCAGACGTGTCCGGGTTGATTATAAATAGAAACAAATCACTCAGCTTAGGTGATTAATCGGAGATATCTGACGCAATAATGGTGTCGAATGTCAAAATATTTATTTCGCATTTTAATTTAACTTTAATAACATTTTCTATCAAAAATTTAACTTTAATGATTTTTAGTCTCAATTTTATTTGTATACGTAACATTTTCCCACAAAATAGCCTTATTCCATTTGGAAGCCCTACCCGTTTGGAAGTCGTCTAGGTACATAAATCTTTTACCTTGTATTAATTTTCTATTTTTTTTTTTTTAAAAAATAATGAATTAATGTAAATTTGAAAAAAATTTTCTTGTTTTCAAATTTTTAGAATTCTTCCGTTCTTTTTTCAGTTTTATACATTTTATGATATATTTTTTTCAAAATATATTTGGCCCTGTATAGCGGTCCAATGATATGCGGTTGTTATGCTGCAGCAGGCTAATTTCTCCTTCTTTTGTGAAGAGCTATTCTTTATATGAACAAAATATTCGACAGCATTGTGTACGCACCAGCCAGTGGGCTGTATCAGATGTACAAACATTTCTTTAGCCACCATTCACCTTGGATCTCTCTCTATAATCACAATGCCCATCTGAGAGCTGAATAGATATGGCTTTCATGCTCTACCACCACATCATTTAGAAGACGAACTATGGCAAACAATTAGTAGGGAAAAGAGAGACATCTCTCAGGATACTCAGGGGCGTATTTTTCATTTGGCTGTGTAGGCTGAGGTCTAAGGATTCCGAAAGGGGAAGAGAAAAGAAAAGAAGAAGGGGCCTCGCACCGGACTAATATCCACTCGTACTAAGAAACAGGAATACCAAAAATAGCTGCGATATTTACAAATAAAAAATAATAAATAAAAATCAGTAGACCTTCATAACATTGTTTCTGTAACCTGCACGTTGGCGTAGCTAGTCCTGAGTGGCCCCGTATCAAAATTCGTCCAGGGCTCTTTTTGGGGAGGGCCCTTAACATTTTACGATATTTTCTTGCACATTTTGGGACCCCTGGAGCTTGGAAGCCCCGTATCATTCATACGGCTGATAGGGCAATAGCTACGCCCCGGAACCTGTAACTTACTAAACTATCCCGCTTATTTCTCTATACTTATAAAATATTTTCCGATTGATATTAAATCTCCGTTATTATTGGGCTATTTAATTATTATTATATCGTTGTTGTCATGTGTTTCATCCTAGGATACAAACGGAAGACGAGAAATTGATGAACAGTAACAAACAATACAATCACAGAAGAATATAGACTTTATCACAAACGATAATCCCAGCACAGAACAGAAGGGGTACATGCTTTCTATTCGAGACGGGAATCCATTTCAGGCGAGGATACATCCATGCCCCATTCGGGATTCGAACCCGAGTTCACTCGATTACAAACCGAGTGTCATAACTAGTATACTGACTGGGAGGCAATAATTAATATATAAGCTCCTTATATTATATTAAGTTCCTTTATTCTCCGTTCTTAGGTTGGGACAGCGCCAGTAGGGGAGTGTCTGAGGCAAACTGTCAAAAAATGGAGGAATTTCCGAGATCTCTATGAAATCTAGGCATATGCTTACGAATTATACAGAATTTCTTCACTGCGCTATTTTAATAATTATTTAAGCATATCTTCCCGAATGTAATGGATGCTTTTTTTTTAAATATAAAAACGCAGGTGTGTTGCAGTTTAGAGAAAATGAATGAAACGAATGCATGACATTCCACAATTTATGCAATTCCAGATATGCTTCTGTTATGCTTGTAAAGCAAAATAATTGATAACCAACTTTAAAATGTTTTGACTTTAATCTTTTCGGTATTAACAAATTAAAAATAAAATGTTGCGTTGAAATGATTTTCATAACGATATCTGAGGGTATTTTTAAACCTACTCTATCCAGAGGACTCAAATATTTTGTCCCTTCGACATTTTCTGAATCGAAATTAAGTTTTTTTTATCTACTACAAACATACATTTGCAATCGGATCATACGAATTTTATACTATGCATGTACCCGCTATGTACATTAAAACTTGATACTCTACTACATAAATATCATCTGATTTATATATATATATATATATATATATATATATATATATATTTTAAATTCCCTAGGGATTGTCTTTTTCTGTTTGTTTCAACTGTTCATCTTTTGGGAAACAACAAAAAATAATAATATCTATATAAGCACACAAGAGGGAAGGTTGAGTATTACTCAAAACCCGGGGAAAACACCCCACCTTTGGTCACGTGATTTCTTCTTATAGGTGTGTATGTTGCGGACTATTCAATTTTGAACGACTTTGTCCAAACGCGATTTCCGACGAAGGACGAAAAGGCCGAATGAGCGTTACATTCCCGAGTGCGATGCGACATTCAAGTTCACTCTTCAGCAAAACGCACCTAAAGAAGTTATCACTTCAATAAAACCATAAACAGTATAGTTCATTCGTAATTATGAAGTAGCGAATAACGTCAAAAACAAAACGATAATTTTTGAAAAAATTAGGGAGGGGGGGGGAGAAAAGAAAGAAAAAGAAAACAGCTAGGACCCTTCTAGTTTTGTTTTTATAGTTCAAAAATGTCTTTTGAATCCATTTTATCTGCCAAAAAGGTATTATAAATAAAAATGTATTATATATGTATACAATTAAATTTAAAAAAAATTTTTACGATAATTTTTCTTTAAAAAATTTCTTTATGTAACCACAATTATAATCCTTATAAGACTTGTCGTATGTAAAAAAAAAGTATCCTTTTCAATTCTGCAATAAAAAAAGGGGATTATGTTAAAAAAAATCATGAGACGTGGTTTCTAATTTGTAAGATACCCAGTATGTTTCCCGCACGTAAAAACCTTTTTAACTAAAACTAAACATCTACAGGTTTGAAAGTGTTAAAAACTGCTGTTTTAATTTCTATTGAACTTATCCACTACTTGACGAATAAAAACAAAGTAAATGTTTGAGAATTAAAGCTGTTAAAATTGATAACGGTTTGTGTATTTTAATTTATAAATATAGCATAACTAAAGACAAATGCAAAAATGTCTGGAAGGAAATATTTAAGGGGCAATCAATAACGAAAAATAAAGAAATGTGGGATCACAGAGCTATCAAAGTGTCAAAAATTAATATTTTTTTTCCAATTCAAAGTTGTCGAAGTCGTTGAATTAATCAAATAAAGAACAGTTACGAAAGAGGTAAATGTAACCGATGTACGGAAGTATTTCAAGAGCATACCGAGGACTGCTGAAACTTTAACTGTAGAGGCGCTGCAGTCGCTTTGTTTTGCTTACATTCAATGTAATATGTATGCCGTCACAGTAATGCCAAAATGAAAGTTTTTCGCCTATGATTGATCGACGAACCCATTTTGACAGGTACGAGTTTTTTATTTATCCATTTAGAATTATCGAGAACGGACATTTGAACACTTGGGATGAAGAAATATTTGCAAATTGAACAAGGACAGTGGTGGTACGGAAACCCCACCTGAATGTCTTATCTAGAACACAGACAAGGACTTCATGGAAGAAAAATTTTTTCTGACATTGAAGATATGGATCTAAGAGTAAACTATAGCGATATAAGATTTTGACCAAAGTTGATTACTTCCGAATTTATCATTTTTACTTAAACCAGCCATCTATATTTTTTTTAAAAAAAACCAAAGAAGATGGATTCACATATTCAGAATCCAAGCAGTCTTATAAAGAACAAAGCCGATTTTTTAAAAACGGGTTTTTTTTTATAAATGCGGGGAAAATGGTGAGATCCAGTTGTACATAAAGAAGCAGCATTTTGCTTACCATGCAAAGTATTTCCCATTCAGGAACAATAAGCTTTGGCATCTGATGGTTGCAAGGATTTTAAGAGCATTAAAAGAATTGTTGTATCCAGGGTCGGACCGTGGCCTTTGGGGGCCCTGGGCTAACGATATCTGGAGGCCCCCTAAACAATAAAAAATTTTGCCTTTTTCATAAAAAATTATTGTGCGAAAAAATTTTAAATATACGAAACTTTAAGTTTTTTCCCCCAAACAATTTAAATACGTTATAAACAATAACAATTTACAAAAAAAATCTTTTCTACACTTTTATGCTGAATACTCTTTTATTTGCTCATCACATTTTAAGTCTTTGGTGAGAACAATACTAATAGAAAGAAGTGATAAAAAATTAAGTCTAGTATTTGTCATTGTTGTCCTATATTTGTTTTCTATGTAGAGCATTTTAGAGAACGCAAGCTCCGCTTCACAGCTAGTAACAGTAATCTTTAAAAATAATGGTATAAAATTTGGAAAAACCTCAACTAATTTCTTTTCAAAAATTAAATTGAATATATATCGCTACAAGTATAGGACTCCAGCTCAGTTTTAGATAAGTTTTTATTTGAACACTTTCATTTACTTAATATTGGTCTACATCATCTGAATAGTAATCACAAATAGCGCGTACACTCTCCAGGCTGACGTTCTCCTTACTTTGATCTTGCAAATCCATCAAAAATTAAAATTTTTTACTATATTCAGCATACACATATACTTGACTTCATCTATTTAAATCAAGGATTAGCTTATCTAACGCTACAATAATCGTGTCTCTTTTAAAATTTTCTGTCCCATACACAGCTTTTTCTGTGGATTTATCGGCAAATTTTGAAATAACCCGCTATATTTTGTTTCTACATTAGGACTTAATTTTTTTAGCTGCGTCTTGATACTCCTTTAGTTTTTAATCTGATTCACATGGCGTACATTGCTTATAAACATTTTTAAAGACATAATTAACTTAGTCCTTTCACAGATATCCAAACTCCAGGAATCTGTAATTTTTTGTTAACTGAATTAAATTTTTCTAAAATTTCTTCCCAAAATATAATTAAAATGCCAGTTTTCGAGTTCAGTTAATTTATTAAATAAATTTACTGCCTCTTTTTAAAATCAATTTTCTCATTTTCACTGTCACTAAATGTTTTAAGAATATTCATGATATTACAATAATTATCTTTTGAGGCTTCAACAGGATCATAGTGACAAGACCATATGGTCTGACTTAAACTTTTAAAGGTAAATTTCAGTTTAATTTCCCGATTTAGAAGTTTCTACCTATAGGTCGAAGTAGAAAAGCAAACATATATTTGTTGCTATAAACCAAAGAAGTTAACGATTTCAGTTGCAATCTTAACTGATTCTGCACAACTAGATTAAGAGAATGTGCAGCACACACGGCACATAATTAGAGAATTTATTTATTTTTTCTTTCTTTTAGAAGAGCTTGCACACCATTATATGGACCGGACATATTGGCAGCGTTGTCAAAAGACTGTCTCCTACAATTATCCTACAGCAGTCCATTTGTTTCGAAAAATTCTGGTAGGTAATTAAATATAAACCTGTGTGACTAATAATCTTAATTAAAGAGACATCTTTCGTATATTTTCCCCCAAAAACAATATCGTAGTATAATAGCAAATTAGTCATTGTGGGACAAATCTGCTGTTGAATCCATCACTATTGAATAGTATTTTGTGTGTCATTGTTATTTATTTGAGTTATAATTGCTTAAGAATTTGCTTGCCCATGATCTCAATAATTTGCTCATATATTGTTTTTGATAAGTACGATATCAACGATTTTGGTTGTAATTATCGCTGTGCAATATGTTCACGAATGAATGAGTCGAACTCTGCTAGCAGTTTCAGGGTACACATAAAATTACCATATTATGAGGAGAACCAAAAACTTCCTCGGTACCTGTAAATCAGCGATACTAAACCAGTGGCCCATCGGACCATTCTGAGTGGCCCGGTCTAGGTCCGTTGAAATAACAAATTCAATTATTTAAAAATAATGTATTAAAAATTTTGCGAGAAATTCTATCAATCAAGCAATCAAATCTATCAAATTTCCTATCGATGTCGTGTTAGTACGAATTGTGAAATTTTTTTTCCTCTTTGTAATTGGAATGGTTAGTGATAACAAATAACCATGGAGTAGTGACCATTTTATAAGTGAAACTAATTTTTAACTAACCCTCCTATCTAAAAAATATTTGCAGTTTCAAGACGATTTGAATCTTGAATATTTTGTAGAAAAAAACAAATATGGATCAACAACTTGCTTGATTTGTCCTGAAAATGTTACATATAAAAAATATAACTTTGCTCGTCACTATACAACTAAACACAAATCTTTCAATGGCTCTTTTTCTTGAGGATCCATTTAAAGATGATATATATATATATATATAAATTGGTTAACTTAAAAAAAACCTTTGAAACCGCAATAAAATATTTTGTAGGTGGTTATGTCACAAAAATGCAGAGGTAACAAAAGCATCCTATAAAATTTAATACATTATATGTATTGACAAACATGTGAAATTGTTAATGATAAACTTAAGAATTATTACAGAAATT